GCAATCGAGTTTGCCAAAAAAACAACAAAAACACATGGTTTTGCAACACTGGTTTGCTAAAACAGCTTCCGCGCGAGCTCTTGCGAAATCTTAAGAAAACCATAGGTTTCTCAAGATTTTCACCAAATGCTACCAAACGGGCTTCGCGCGCGCGCATGTCGAAATCTGTCGCACGCCCTTGCGCGTGTGCCGTGGCGAGAATCCTCTGCAAAAAAGGGACGAAGTGCAGACGCGAACGTCGTCGCGGGCGTATGCCGCCGGAATCCTTCAAAAACCATCGGCTTCGGAAGGGTTTCAAAATCGTGCGTCCAAAAAACAAACAAAAACCCAAGGTTTCGCAACACGGATTTTCAACAAAAGCGTGCGCGCGCGCTCTTGCGTCGTCGTCGTCGTCGTCGTCGCCGTCCTCCCTCCTCCCGCGTCGTCGTCGTCCTCGTCGCCTACGTCGTCCTCTGTCTTTCCTCGTGTTCGTCGTCGTCGTCCTCTTTGGCGTCGTGGTCGTTTCCGTCGTCGTTGTCGCCGTGGTCGTCCTTCCTCCTCCTCCCTCGTCGTCGTCGTCGTCCGTCGTCGGCGTCTCGTCGTCGTCCCTCCTATTTCGTCGCCGTCGTCGTCGTCGTCGTCGTTGTCGTCGTCGTCGTCGTCTTCCCTCCTCCCTCGTCGTTGCCGTCGTCGGCGTCGCCGTCCTTCCTCCTTCTTCGTCGTTCGCGTCGTCGCCGTCCTCCCTCCTCCCTCGTCGTTGTCGTCGTTGTCGCCGTCGTCGTCCTCCCTCCTTCCTCGTTGTCTTCGTTGGCGACGTCGTCGTCGTCTTCGTCGTCGTCGTCGGCGTCGGCGTCGTTGTCGTCTTCGTCGTCGTCGACGTCGGCGTCGTCGTCGTCGCCGCCGTCGTCGTCGTCGTCGTCGGCGTCGTTGACGTCGTCGTCGTCGTCGGTGTCGTCGTTATTGTCGTCGTCGGCGTCGTCATCGTCGTCGTCGTTGTCATCGTCGTCGTCGTCGGCGTCGGTGTCGTCGTCGTCGTCGGTGTCGTCGTCGTCGTCGTTGTCGGCGTCGTCGAAGTCGTTGGAGACCTCGTCGGTGTCGTCGTTGTCGTTGTCGGCGGCGTCGTCATCGTCGTTGTCGCTGTCGTCGTCGGCGTCGTTGTTGTTGCCAAGTGCCATGTGGTACCCACCGTCACGGTCTTAGCAAATTTTGCAAACCAGGTTGCGGGTGGGTGGGTGGGATGTTTGCGCGAGCAGTGGAGTGGGCACTCTACCTCCCCCCCGGACTTAACGCTTCCCCCTGGGATAATACGATTTCATATATATTCTGCACACTCATCCATCCGAAATATGAAATCATACCATCCCGGCTAGGCCAATTTCCCCCCCCCCCCCTGAGGTTCCCTTTTTTTTTTTTTTTTATATATATATAAAAAAAACACTATGCGCTGACATGTTGTTCTAACATGGCATTTTTTTCACGAAACCCTTGCAAACATTAAACGAAGTGCACACGCGCGCGTCGTCGCGCGCGCATGCCGAAATCCTTCAAAAACCTTCGGTGTCGGAAGGATTTCGCAATCGAGTTTCCAAAACAGCATACAAAAACACATGGTTTTGCAACACTGATTTGCTAAAACAGCTTCCGCGCGAGCTCTTGCAAAATCTCACGAAAACCATAGGTTTTTCAAGATTTTCACAAAATGCTACCAAACGGGCTTCGCGCGCGCGCATGTCAAAATCTGTCGCACGCCCTTGCGCGTGTGCCGTCGCGAGAATCCTCTGCAAAGAATGGGACGAAGGGCAGACGCGAACGTCGTCGCGGGCGTATGCCGAAAACCTTCAAAACCAGTCGGTTTCGGAAGGATTTCAAAAACCCAAGGTTTCGCAACATGGATTTTCAACAAAAGCGTGCGCGCGCGCTCTTGCGTCGTCGTCGTCGTCGTCGCCGTCCTCCCCCCTCCCGCGTCGTCGTCGTCGTCGTCGCCTACGTCGTCCTCTGTCTTTTCTCGTGTTTGTCGTCGTCGTCCTCTTTGGCGTCGTGGTCGTTTCCGTCGTCGTTGTCGCCGTGGTCGTCCTTCCTCCTCCTCCCACGTCGTCGTCGTCGTCCGTCGTCGGCGTCTCGTCGTCGTCCCTCCTATTTCGTCGCCGTCGTCGTCGTCGTTGTCGTCGTCGTCTTCCCTCCTCCCTCGTCGTTGTCGTCCTCGGCGTCGCCGTCCTTCCTCCTTCTTCGTCGTTCGCGTCGTCGCCGTCCTCCCTCCTCCATCGTCGTTGTCGTCGTTGTCGCCGTCGTCGTCCTCCCTCCTCCCTCGTCGTCGTCTTCGTTGGCGACGTCGTTGTCGTCGTCGTCGTCGTTGTCTTCGTCGTCGTCGGCGTCGTCGTCGTCGTTGTCATCGTCGTCGTCGTCGGCGTCGTCGTCGTCGTGGTCGCTGTCGTCGTCGAAGTCGTCGGAGACGTCGTCGGTGTCGTCGTCGTCGGTGTCGGCGGCGCCGTCGTCGTCGTTGTCGCTGTCGTCGTCGGCGTCGGTGTCGTGGCCAAGCGCCATCTGGTACCTACCGTCACGGTCTTGTCTTGAGAGGTTTTGCGACCAAGTTGCGGGTGGGAGGGTGGGATGTTTGCACGAGTAGTGGAGAGGACAGCTTCAAGACGGTCAAAGTGAATTGCACCACATAGATTGCACCACATCATAGGTTGCACCACCCAGTTTGCACAACCTATACTGCAGCACCTATATCGTGCTGCACAAATTCTCCTTTCTAAAAACAGAATTGGATCTACCCCCCTGGGGTTATCGGTCCCCTTTCGGGTATGTAAATCAGAAGCGATTCTGACCACATGTCCATCCTAAATATGGATTTGCACTATCCCCGGGGGGCCGGTATCCCCCCCCCCTGAGGTTCCCTTGTAACAAAAAACACTACCCGGTGACATTAGTTGTTCGAACATAACTCTTGTTCACGAACCCCTTGCAAAAAATGGGACGACGTGCACACGCGCGCGTCGTCGCGCGCGCATGCCGAAATCCTTCAAAACCCATCGGTACCGGAAGGATTTCGCAATCGAGTCTCCAAAACACTTACAAAAACACAAGGTTTCGCAACACTGATTTGCTAGAAAAGTTTCCGCGCGAGCTCTTGCGAAGTCTGAGGAAAACCATAGGTTTTTCCATATTTTCACAAAATGCTACCAGACGGGCGTCGCGCGCGCGCATGTCGAAATCTGTCGAGCGCCCTTGCGCGTGTGCCGTCGCGAAAATCCTCTGCAAAAAACTGAACGTGCAGACGCGCGCGTCGTCGCGCGCGTATGCCGAAATCCTTCAAAACCCATCGGTTTCGGAAGGATTTCAAAATCGTGCGTCCAATAAACCTACAAAAAACACAAGGTTTCGCAACACGGTGTTTCAACAAAAGCGTGCGCGCGCGCTCTTGCGTCGTCGTCGTCGTCACCGTCCTCCCTCCTCGTCTTCGTCGTCGTCGTCGCCTACGTCGTCCGCTGTCTTTCCTCGTGTTCGTCGTCGTCGTCCTCTTTGGCGTCGTGGTCGTTTCCGTCGTCGTTGTCGCCGTGGTCGTCCTTCCTCCTCCTCCCTCGTCGTCGTCGTCGTCCGTCGTCGGCGTCTCGTCGTCGTCCCTCCTATTTCGTCGCCGTCGTCGTCGTCGTCCTCGTCGTTGTCGTCGTCGTCGTCTTCCCTCCTCCCTCGTCGTTGTCGTCGTCGGCGTCGCCGTCCTTCCTCCTTCTTCGTCGTTCGCGTCGTCGCCGTCTTCCCTCCTCCCTCGTCGGTGTCGTCGTTGTCGTCGTTGTCGCCGTCGTCGTCCTCCCTCCTCCCTCGTCGTCGTCTTCGTTGGCGTCGTCGTCGTTTTCGTCGTCGTCGGCGTCGGCGTCGTCGTCATCTTCGTCGTCGTCGACGTCGGCGTCGATGTCGTCGACGTCGTCTTCGTCGGCGTCGTTGACGTCATCGTCGTCGTCGTCGGTGTCGTCGTTGTCGTCGTCGTCGGCGTCGTCATCGTCATCGTCGTGGGTTTTGCAAACCAAGTTGCGGGTGGGTGGGTGGGAGGTTTGCAAGAGCGCGGGATGTGTCAACTTGTTTGTTAAAATCAACTGCACCATATAGATTGCACCACATGAACTGCACCGCGTGGATCGCCCCACATAGCTTGCACAGCATAGATAGCATCACGTAGATCGCACCACATAGATTGCTCCACAGAGTCTTCACAACAGATACTGCTACAAACACACTGCTTGGGGCCCACGATGGCTAGCATCTTGTTACTGACCCCACGCTCAGCGGCGCCAAGTCCTGTTGAAGCGTCGCCCACTGAGCACCGCGTTATCGCGCAGCTGGCGCGTGCGCCGCGGCGGGCGCAGCCTGCACAGCAAAGCACCCCGCCGCCGCGGCGGCCAGCCCAACTGGATAAGCGCGTTCCACGACTCGCAAAGTAACTACTCGCAAATGGCCCGGATCCGCCGCGGGGGATTTACGATACATGCCATAGAGGAAGCCATGCTCTTCGGGCTTCTGCGAGTTGGCACTTTGCGAGTAGTCAAACGCGCTCGGTGACCAACCCTCCCTGCGTGCTGGTGGCCCGGCGGGGCCCAGGCGGTGTTCAAGTGTGGAAAGCGGGGGGCTGCGCCGCAGAGTCCTCCGTTCGCCTGGGCCACTGCATGAGCAAGGCGCCTTCGATTCGAGCTAGCTCTTTTTGCTCATAATCCTTCTCCTTTACAGGCTGCTCGGGGTCCAAAGACCGCGAATATGCTCACAGCAGGCCCGGCGCCTGCCGGGCGACTGACCTCACGCTATCAAATGACAGAGACTTAAGACATACGAACGTCGAAAACTTCTACAGAAAAACGCTCCGCGCTTCAACGCGCGTCCTCCGGCTGAGGCCGGCATGCGGATCCGATGCTCGGAGCAAAAACAACATCCAGACAGAAATAACGAGAGCGCCATCGAATCGAAAGCAGAGGATCACGCCAGGGTCAGGCGCAGGCGATTGGCTAGCATGCAGCAGTACAAGCTCAATCGACCCACTTCGTGAGGTAGTTGCTGACCTTGAGCTCTTGTGCCACCTCCGCAGAAGTCATCTTCCGGAATCTCGACAGGTCCTTCGCGTTCTCCCACTCGAAGAACTTGAGGCCGTTCTTCGTGACTGGCTCGCGGCCAAAGTGGCAGTACGCTGCCGTCTCCTGGTACTTGGGCTCCCGCAGGGCCAGAGATATCGCGATTGCCCCAGGTCGGCAATCAAAGGCGATCTTGATTACGTTCGTGATGTCCTCCGCGGTCAGGGAGCCCTGCTCTGTACCATATGTCTCCACGAACAGCGAGAGCGGCTTCGCAACGCCAATGGCGTAGGACAGCTGCACCAAGGCACGCTTGCACAAACCACTCTTGACCACTGACTTGGCCATCTGGCGGCAAATGTAGGCCGCCGAGCGGTCAACCTTCGTGGGATCCTTGCCAGAGAAAGCGCCTCCACCATGAGCGCCCCATCCGCCATATGTGTCGATGATGATCTTTCGGCCTGTCAGGCCTGCATCCCCCTGGGGGCCACCGATTATAAACTTGCCCGAGGGATTGATGTGCAAGTGGGTGAAGCTGCCGAAGAGCGTCAACGCTGGCTCACCATTCTTCAGCTTGATCTCGGACAGAGTCTTCTTCACCACCTCCTCGACGATGAGCTTGTTCATCTCCTCCATGCTCGGCGCAATCTGCTCCGGCCCGGCGTAGCCAGCACACTCTTTGCTGCGCTTCGCCTTCAGCGGCTCTGCGTGCTGCGTGGAAATGACGATGGTGTGCATGCTCTGGGGCTCCACAGATCCATCTGCCTTTTGCAAATATCCGCCACCGTGCCTTTGAGCACGAAGTGGAGTGCCCCAAGGCTCACGCAGCGGAGTGCAAAATTACGACCACGATGTTCCGGAAAGTTCTTTGCGCGCATGTGTGCTCTTGGGGTGTCGCGTCGGCCTCTGGGAAGGTGAACCTGCCCAGAACGACCTGACGAACCTGCAAGAGTCTCCCAAGAAGCGCCCAAGACGATCTTAGAGAGCGCCGAGACAGACCTCAAGGGTCTAAAACAGCCCTCGATGGACACAAGACTGCCCAAGAGGCCTCCAATACGCCCCAAGAATGCCTCCAAAGGCCGCCTAAGAGCGCTTCAAGACGCCAGAATCATTGGTGTTCCAATGATTTTGGCGAATTCGAGCGTTCTCACCTTTAGCTGCCGAAGCTCCAAGACGGCCACAAAGATCGCCCCAAGACGGGCCAACAACCCCCAAAAACAGCCCCAAGAAGACCCAAAAGGCCACCACCAAACAGCACAGGAGACTCCCAAGACGTGCTAAGAAGGCCACATGTGGGCTCCAAGAGAGGCACAAAGGGGGAACCCAAACTGGCATTTCGAGCGCTCCGCCCCAAGATGACCCCGAAGATCATCAGCAGGCCCCCTAAGAGGCTTCAAAGAGGCCCCCGAGATGCTCCCAAGAGGACCTGGAGACGCGCCCAGGATGCCCCCAGAGGCCTCGAAAAGGCCACAAGAGGCCACCAAGAGCCCTCCAAAATGCATCGACCACCCAGGCACAGTGGCGGGATGGGCCGAAGGCCATTAGATTCAATGGTGACCTGCGTCTTCCCGTCGGGCCGCAACCACCATAACTGTCCACTCTTGCGAACGTCCGTTAGCTTCTTGCCCAACTTGGTCGCAACCGAGTGGGTGAGAGGCATGCAATCCTCTGTCTCGTCAGTAGCGTAACCGAACATAATTCCCTGGTCGCCAGCTCCAACATCCATGTCATCCTTCCCCACGTGAACACCGCCGGCAATGTCGGGGCTCTGCTTGTTGATCCTCACGAGCACCTCGCAGGTCTTGTCGCTGAGTCCCTTGCTGTCGACACTGGACAGATCATCAACGAATGAATCGAATCCAATGTGAGCTACAACTCCACGCACTACCTTCTGGTAGTCAAGCTTGGCGTTTGTGGTGATCTCGCCCGCCACCATGACCATGTTGTCCTTGGTGGCGGTCTCGCAAGCAACCTTGCTCTTGGGATCCGCTGCGAGGCACGCATCCAGGACCGCATCCGAGACCTGGTCGCAGATCTTGTCGGGGTGACCCTCGTTCACAGACTCGGAGGAGAACAAGAAGACACGCTCTCCCTTGGCAATGTCGAGCTTCTCAGCCAATGACCTCAAATACTTCACGCTCTGCTTCGAGCACTCGAAAGGGTAGTTCAACTTCCTGTCTTCGTCATCGATCTTGTTGTCGAAATCCTACTCGATTGTTGCATAGCCATTGAAGCCGCTCTCCTTCATGGCACGAAGTAGCGCAGGATAATCCACCATGCCTGTTCCGAGAATGCAAAAGATTCCGCCAGTGACACCATCCCAGAAGCTGCCCTTGGTGTCCTGCATTTTCTTCAGGACCGCGGCGTCGATGTCCTTCAGCTGCATGTAAGGAATGCGAGCGCGATGTTTCCTGAACTTCTCGACAGGGTCCATGCCCGCGTATGTGCAGTGCCCAGTGTCGAGGCACAGGGTGACTAGATCTTCGGGCAGATCGGAGAGGGCACGCTCCATCTCATCCTCGTACTCGATCCAGCTGCCAGCATGCGGATGCAGCATGCACACGATGTCGTAGCTCTTCACCACCTCTGCGACCTTCGTAATGGCGGTCATCATGTACGCCCACTTGTCGTCTGGAAGCCTGGGCGCGTCCTTAGGGCGGCCTGCAGTGGACTCCTTCTCTGGAACTGTGTGGGGGACGATCACAAAAAATTTGGCGCCGAACTTCTTCAGAGTGCTGCATGAATCGTGGGTCTTCTGAATGATCATGTCTAACTGATCTGGCTCGTGCATCTTCTCGAAGATGTTACCGGCAACCAGCTGCAGGCTGTGCTTTGTCAGGAGGCCCTCCAGCTGCTCGGGCTTGTAGTAGCCAACTGGTCCCAAGTCGGTGCCAGTGTAGCCAGCTTCCGCCATACGCGCGATCACCTTGTCCCATGGTGGATTCGATGGATGGTCGGCGTAGTCCACGCCCCACGAACACGGGTGGCCCGACAGTTTCAGCCACTCGCCCTTCTGACGCTTCGCAGGCGGCTCGCCGGACAGCGCCATTGCTGCTGTCGATGCGTCCTTTGTATCCGCCCCGATGGTTTGAGACAAAATGGCCTCAGGCTTCGAGCTTTGCTGATTTGCGGCGGCCCATGCCGAATGGATAGCCATGGTGGTCAGGGGCCTCTCCAACGGCAGCAGGCGCGACGGTTTCCATACCCACATTGTCCTGGAAGGGGTGACTGCCTCTGGGTCCTGCAGGACTGCGGCTGCTACAACCCCCCCCTAACGTAGCCAACCCCTACCCTAACCTGACCCAGGCCCTGTCGACACTGCGCCAGAGCTAACCTGACCCATTAAAGTGAACGTGGCCAACGGCTCGGCGACACCAGTGTATCACGCGCGCGCGCTGTAGCACATGATTGAAGGGGCCCTGGGACACACACACACACACACACACACACACACACACACACACACACACACACACACACGCACACACACACACAAATACACACTAATAACAGGATTCCCAATATTTTCCAATGTTTTCGGGATGTGTGTCTTCCCCCCCACTTCCTATACTTTCCAATATTTTCCTGGGAGTCGACGATTCATTGTGTCTGTGTGTTTTTTCCTCCTGAATGATGCACCAGAATGGGGCGACACAGCAATCTGCAGTGCAAAAGTGCCAACTGTATCACTCATCCCTCTGCGTTTCCAAGCAAGAAGCTGGCCAGCGCTGAAGCGAGAGCAACTTTCGCAATCATGGATCTGGCCGGCGCTGTGGCGAGAGCAACATTCTCAATCATGGCTGTGGCCGGCGCTCAGACTAGAGCAACTTTCGCAATCGCGGATGTGGCCAGCGCTAAGGCGAGAGTAACTTTCGTAATCCCGGGTGTGGCCGGCGCTGAAGCGACAGCAACATTTGAAATATTTGCGATCATGGATGTGGCCACCGCTAAAGCGAGAGGAACTTTCGCAATCGTGGGTGTGGCCGGCACTGAGGCGAGACACTCGCAATCGTGGATGTTGCCGGCGCCAAGGCGACAGCAACACTCGCAGTCGTGGATGTGGCCAGCGTTGGGGCGAGAGCAACGTTCGCAATCATGCGTTGCCCTCGTTGCTCTGCGATTCTTTCGGCGTGGCCCTCTTAGAAGCCTGCAGCTGAGATCTGTGAGTGCTGCGCTCCCAAAGGGCTACGCCGGTGTTCCGAGACCGTAGCATACCTAGCAGCTACCCGAGCCGCGGGTGGGGGCAGCGCGCGCGCGCGATGCGGCAGGTCACCGATCCCCTCTCGCTGCCGTCGCCTTCCACTCCACGACGCGAGGATGCCAGGGAGCCCCGGCCGAGCCGCCCGCGGCGAAGACGGCGGCCTTTGGGGCTGGCCGCCCCGCGCAGCGGCTCCTGCAGCGCGCACCCCGTGTAGAGGCGCGCCAGCTCACAAGGGCCCACACAACACACACACACATACATATACACATACACATACACATACACATACACATACACACACAACACACACACACACACACACAACACACACACAACACACACACCCACGCACGCGCGCGCGCGCACGCACGCACGCACGCACGCACACACACACACACACACACACACACACACACACACAGAGACACACCTACCTTGCGCACGTGTGCGCGTGTGCGCTCCCCCCTCCCCCTCCTCCTCCTCCCCCTCCTTCTCCTCATCCTCCTCCTCGTCCGTAACCAGCCATTTTGGCCAAGCCATTTGGGCTCAAGCCATTTTGGCTCAAGCCATTTGGCTCAAGCGTTCGCACGGCCGCGCCTCCGTCCGCGTGATGGCGCAGCCTAGAGGGGCTCTGGATCCTGCGACGGCTGCCCGCCTCGTCGAGGCGGCTGTTCGCGGGGCGCTTGGGGCGCCGAGGCGCACTGTGGCGGCAGTCGCGCGGTCTGCTGTCTCGGCGGCGGCGTTCGCCGTCGCGGCGACGCCTCCACCCGCCGCCGCTGGCGCCGGGGCGCCACTTCCTGATCTTCGTCCTGATGTTCCGATCCGCGCCGATGCTGCTGAGGCCGACCCGACGGCGCAGGCCGCTCGGCGTCGACGCCGCCGCCAACGCCGCGCGGCGCGGAAGGCCGCCGAGGCGCCCCCTGCTGCTGCAGGCGCGGCTGCTGGTGCCGCTGCTGCTGCTGCTGGTGCGGGCCCCGCGCTTGCCCCGCGGCTGCTGTGGCGGCCGAGGCCATGGATGACATAGACGACGCATGGGCCGACGGGCTCGTGCGATTCCCCGAGGGCGGGGCTGGGGCGGCCGCTGCGGTGGCCCGCCCGCCTCCCTCGGATGGAGCCGCCGCCGTGCGGGCATGTGGCCCCTTACCTGGCTGCTGCGGTGCCAGCGGCCCTGCGCGAGGTGCCCGACGCGGACGGCGACGTGGTGCTGGCGGAGGCGGTGCCAGGTGCGCCTGGCGGAGCAGCTGCCGCAGGAGCCTTCGGCGTGCTCGACGTGGAGGTCGACGCACGGCGACGGGCCCGGATGCAGCGTGCGCTGGCTATCACCCGCGGTGCCTGATGTCCGTCGTCGGGAGTTTGGACACGTTTATGGAGGGCCTCCTCTTGTTGCTTTCACGGTCGGGGGGCGGCGCGGGCCCCCGTCTGGTAAGTTTCCGCACTAGGTTTGCCTGCGCTTCCTGGTGTGTTCCTTTGAGCCTTCGGGCGGTCTGCTGGCGTCTCCTGCCGCTAGCTGCTTGCATGTACTGTTTAGAGGAGATAGGCGTTGAGTTCAAACAACTCCTCCTCCTCCTCCTCCTCCTCCTCCTCCTCGTGCAGCTCCTCCTCCTCCTCCTCCTCCTCCTCCTCCTCCTCCTCCTCCTCCTCCTCCTCCAGCTCCTCCTCCTCCTCCTCCTCCTCTCCTCCTCCTCCTCCTCCTCCTCCTCCTCCTCCTCCTCCTCCTCCTCCTCAGCTCCTCCTCCTCCTCCTCCTCCTCCTCCTCCTCCTCCTCCTCCTCCTCCTCCTCCTCCTCACCCTCGTGCAGCTCCCCGGAGCCCCACGTGCCGGGCCCGAGCCGAGGGCCGCGCCTGGCGGGGGCCCCCAGGCAGCACCGACCCTCCGGGGCGGAGGGCCGCCGGAGAGGCCGCCGCCACGCGGGGCAGAGGCCCTGGGCGGCCACGGCCTCGGGCGTTCCTTGGAGAAGGGGGCTGGCAGCACATGAGGAGCTCGACCACATCGGGGGCCTCCACAAAAGTTCAGACTGCCAGTCGGATGTCGTCCACGGGGAGGCTTCCACAAGAAACCCAAGCCCGAGACCCCCGGGCGTCCCTCGGTTTGGGGTGTGGGAACGTCACGCGTTCCATAGCAAAACCATCGACACCCAAGAAACCCAGGGCACCCTGGAGGCAAGTGTACCTTCAGTGCCCCAGGGGGGCGCGCCTCCCTTCCAGCAGCCCTCGATCGCCCTCGCCTCCCCCATCCCACCCAATGGTCTACTCCCTTCCCGCCTGGCGATCTACTCCGCCATGTCAGATGGCGTTGCAGCGCACGCCAGTGCGCTCTGTATCCCGCGCTGTGCTGTATTCTTCTGCCTATGCGCTGTTCAGCGCCTCACTGCTGTCTGCCTGCCTGCCTGTCTGCCCGCCCGCCCGCTTGCATGCCTGTCTGTCTGTCTCTGTCTCTGCCTGCCTGCCTGCCTGCCTGCCTGTCTGTCTGTCACTGTCTGTCTGTCTCTGCCTGCCTGCCTGCATACCTGCCTGTCTGCCTGTCTGCCCGTCGACCATTGATCCCCCCCCACTACGACGCGCCCGACGGCCCCCAGGCCAGCGGCGGTTCCGCCCAGAGAGCCGCCCCCGACCCCAGGCGGGGCACCGCGCGCCCCCCCCCCCGCGCGCAGAGGGCTCCTCGCCCCAGCCGTCGCCCGTGACGGCGCCATAGAGCTGGTCGATGCGCTCCAGCACGGCCGGCAGCCGGCACCCGAAGCGGTCGATGAGGAGCTGGGTGACCCAGTGCAGCCTGCAGGAGTGCAGCCACCACCATCATGGGCTCCATGGAGCTCCGTTCCCAAAGGCTACCCCCGGCGAGCCGGCGGCATGCCGTTCTGGGCACTCTCCGGGGGCGCGCCCAGAACAGGGCGCCACCGGCTCGGAGGGGGGCAGCGGCCAGCCCCCCTGGCTGGCGGTGGCGGCTCTTTCTTCTCGGGTGCAGCCCGCAGGAGAAGAAGAAGAAGAAGAAGCAAGAACGCACGAGCATCCGCCGTCGGAGGTCCGCGGGCCCCCCCCCCCTGGCGGCGCCCGAGGGCACCGCCCCTGGCGCGCGCCGCGCGCTAGGAAGAGCGGTACAAGGCCGATCCAGGAGAGCCGCGCGGACCTCAGAAATCAAGAGGCCCAGGGACACACAAATAAATGGACGAAGATCCCAGGATCCCCCATGTTTCCTGTCATGTTCTGGGTTTTCGTCTTCCCCCCACTTCCCACATTTTCCCAGATCTTCCTGGGGATCGACGATTCATTGTGTCCGTGTGTTTTTCTCCTGCCGAGTCCTCCCTGGCTCGCAGAGCGCACCGCGCCGACAGGGGGGTCCAGCGCCCATGCGAGAAGTCCACGCGGGCCTCCAAAAGTTCATACTTCTGCAGTTGCTCCTTGGGCCTCTCGGCCGACACACAAGTAGATGGACACGGATCCCAAGATTTCCCATATTTCCTCATATGTTCGGGGGTCTCGTCTTCTCCCCCCCACACACACTTCCCACAGTTTCCCGGATCTTCCTGGCGATCGGCGATTCATTGTGTCTGTGTGTTTTTCTCCTCCCGAATTCTCCTTGGCTCGCGGAGTGCGCCGCGCCGCCAGGAGGGGTCCAGGGCCGATCTGAGAAGTCCGCGCGGGCCTCCAAAAGTTCATCCTTGTGCATAACAAGGTTCTTGGACACACAGATAAATACACAAACCCCAGAATTCCGTATATTTTTCCATATTTGGGGGATTTTCGTCTTCCCCCCCCACTGCCCATCTTTTCGCATATCTGGGGAATCGACGATTAATTTTGCCCCTGTGTGTGTGTGTTTTTTCCCCTCCTGATTGTTTCCTCCTTGAGCCTCTCGGCCGACACGGTCCACGCGGCGCCGTCGAGCCGCGGGGCGCAAGCCTCGAACAGGCCGTCGCACTCGTACGCGAGCGAGTCCGGGTCCTCCAGCAGCAGCTCGATGGAGTCGGCCAGCTCGTCGTCCGACCGCCGCTTCCAGAGGTGCGCGGCCTCGGACATCCTGGCGATCGGCTGCCGCTAGGGGGTGGGAGGGCGAACTGCCCGCCGGACGCCGGTCCGGGTCGGGCCAGTCCCGGGCCCCAGGTCGGCGTACACAGCCATCGCGCTGACAGAAGGGACGCCGATGCAGGAACGCCGGGGCCGCTCTTGCCACGGCGAGCCTCGTCCACGAACAGGTTTCCCGACGTTGACTCGGATGAGCGGCCCGAAAACGCCCACACGAGCGTTTTCTTATTCGGCGTTTCGACACTGGGCGGAAGGGGGGGGGGGGCGGGGGGGGTCTGGCTCCGGGCCTGTGCTTCAAGCGACTGTTTGCAACGGTGCGTCCTGGGGGGGAGACTCCGCCTGCTCAACAAATAGGCGCCAAAAATAGCCAAGATCTGCTCCATGGGGACGGGGGTGGCGAGGGCCCGCGTCGATCGGCAAAACAACGAATAAGAAAACGATCACCAGAGTCACCAGAGCACTCCAGGGGAGGGCCATTTTTCGACACCCCTCACGAGGATCGTGGCCTCCGAGGGGGGAGCCGCAATCGACTACCCCCCCTCCCGCCCCAAGAGGCCCTGAGGGCCCCCAAGACGCCGCCAAGGAGCCCCAAGAGACTCCCAAGAGGTCCCCACCTCCTCCTCCTCCTCCTCCTCCTCCTCCTCCTCCTCCTCCTCCTCCTCCTCCTCCTCCTCCTCCTCCTCTTCCTCCTCCTCCTCCTCCTCCTCCTCGTCCTCGTCCTCCTCCTCCTCCTCCTCCTCCTCCTCCTCCTCTCCTCCTCCTCCTCCTCCTCCTTCCCCCCTCCAACTTATGGTGGTGGTGGAAAACACGCCCATCAACAGCGACCCTGGGCCCGCGGCTGGCCTCGCCCGGACTGGGGGGCAGGGCGAGCGAAGGCGGCGGCAGCTGCAGGTTGTCCGAGCCGCGTCCCGCCGCGGCGGCGGGGGGGCCCCCCGAAGGCCAGCTGCCGTTGCCTCGGCCCACCCTCCTCTGACAGGGGCACCCCCAGCTCGCGGAGCCCGAGGAGGAGCAGGAGGAGGAGGAGGAGGAGGAGGAGGAGGAGGAGGAGGAGGAGGAGGAGGAGGAGGAGGGGAGGAGGAGGAGGAGGAGGAGGAGGAGGAAGAGGAGGAGGAGGAGGAGGAGGAGGAGGAAGACCCCAAAGAGGCCCTCGGGAGGCCCCCAAGAGGCTCCCAAGGGGCAGCCGCGAGGCCCCCCCAGAGAGGCCGACCACCGCTGCATCAACTGCCCCTCCTCTGACGGATTATAGGGGGCGAAAAATCCACCCCAAAAATGACCGCCCCGACAAGCGAAGCCGCTTAGTAAACGCACCCAAGGAAGAAATCGAACAGGGCAGAGCTGTTTAGCAAACGCCCAGGACCGTTTAGTACACGACAATTATGCGAACGTTCTCTTATTCGGCGTTTCGACACTGGGGGGCAGGGGGAAGGGGGGGGAGGGGGGGGGCTCTGGACCCGTGCTGAATGCGACTGTTTGCAACAGTGCGTCCTATGTGGGAGACTCCACCTGCTTGAAAAACAGGCGCCAAGAGTAGCCAAGATCTTATTGGAGGGGGATGGGGGGGGCGAGGGCCCTCGCCGATCGGCAGAACAATGAACAAGGAAACGCCCATTATCGGGTCCGGGTGGTTCTTCGGAGGAGTAGAAGGAGGAGGAGGAGGAGGAGGAGGAGGAGGCGGAGGAGGAGGACGCGGAGGAGGAAGAGGACGCGGAGGAGGAGGAGGAGGAGGAGGAGGAGGAGGCGGAGGAGGAGGAGGAGGTCTCCCCTTGAGATTGGGTGCTGAGCGGGCAGCCGGCGCCCCCGCCCCCGCTGCTCGTCCCACGCCGTGAGGGCCGCCTCGGCCACGGCGGGGGCCAGCAGCAACGGCTCTGGCGGCGCCGCGTCTGCCTCCGGCGATTCTCAAAGGGGAAAAAACACACAGACACAACTCATCGTCGATCCCCAGGAAAATATAAGAAAAGATGGGAAGTGGAGGGGAAGACAAAACCCCATAAAATATGAGAAAACGTGGGGAACCTCGTCATTTGTGTGTGTATTTATTTGTGTGTCCCAGTTCCCCTTCAGAGTCACCCCCCCCAAAAAAGAAAGAGACCCTTTGGGAGGAAAAGGCCGCAGCTAGGAGAGCCAACGCACACATGAGGGGTACGGGTCCTTCTCTGTTCTGCAGACGTCTTGAAGCAAACTGCCAACAGTTGGTGTTACCCCTGACGCGAAGACGGGGACCTCAGTGTGTGGCCACGTCTTCACTGTGCTGTTAAACAACACAATGTTCTGTTCCTCCCTGTCCTGTTCCTCCCCCGCCTCCTCCGCAGCGAACTGGGCGGAACCGGAGCGAAACGCATGGCGAACCGGGCCGAACCGGACGGCACCTTGACAACGACGAACCGAACCGAACCGAACAAGAAAATTCCGATGCCGACGCCGAACCGAACCGAACCGGCCCCACTTCGGAACCTGACCGAACCGAGCCGAACCGGACCCTTCCTGTGTTGGCGCTGGGGGCTCTTTCGTTCTCGACGAGCGGGGGGGCCCACGGGACCTCTGGGCGCCCTCGCGAGGAGGGCGCCCAGAGGTCATGTCAGGGGCGACGATGAGGGGCGAATAGCCCAGGGGGGGGGGGGGGGCAATACATGTGCCCAGGGGCGCCGAGGATCCCTGTCTTCGGCGAGGCTCCCGGTCTCGAGGAGCGGCGATCCCCAGGGAGCGGCCACGGGGCAGCCCACGGACGCAGAGGGCCCACGGGGCCGCCCACGGGCAGGCCTGCAGGCTTCGGCGGGCGAGGCGGCACGGGGCGACGGCATCCACGGCGAAGCCGTGGGCGGCCTGGCCCGGGCGTGGCCGTGCAGCGGGCCCGGCACGTCTCGGGTCGGCGCTCGCACGGCCTGCCGTCCACAGTGGAGGGGCCCTGGGACACAGAAATACATAAGCACCAGTGACCAGCTTCCCCATATGTTCCCATATTTTCTGGGGCGTTGTCTCCCCCCCCCCCACTTCACATGGTTTCCCACATTTTCTGGGGGATCGACGATGAATCGTGGGGGAGGAGGGGGGGGGCCCGCGCCGACCGGCAAAACTGGAGGGGCCCTGGGATTCACACAAATGAATACACACAAATAACAGGATCCCCCCTGTGTTCCCATATTTCTGGGGTTTTGTCTTCCCCACACTTCACAAAGTTTCCCATATGTTCTGGGGGATCGACGATGAATTGTGCCTGGGTGTTAGTTTTCCCTCCTGATACAGACCGTGCACGGGTACACGGTACAGGGGTGTGTCGAGCCAGAGGAGAAAAATACAGAGGCGACCTGCAACGCAAGCACTCGCCATCGCTCGGACGTCCATTCCCCGTGCATGTTCAGTGTCATGCTTTTCTCCTTCGTGAGAGGATGCTCGATGCTCCTCGATGGTCCTCGCCGGGGATGGATGCATCCGCCAGAGCGGTGCCAAGGAGGAGAAAAATACGCAGGCGACTTGCAACAACGAAGACAGGGGATTGCGACTGCATCGCAGCAGAGGGCCCGTCCTCGTCAGGTGAGCGTTTTTTTTCATTCGGCGTTTCAGCATTGGGCGGAAGGGGGGGGGTCTGGCTCCAGACCTCTGCTTAGTGCGACTGCTTGCACGAGTGCTGCCCCTGGGGGAGATTCCACCCGCTCGAAACAGGCGCCAAAAAACAGCCAAGGCCTACTCCATGGGGAGGGGGAGGAGGGGGGGGGCCCGCGCCGATGGGCAAAACTGGAGGGGCCCTGGGACACACAAATGAATACACACAACTAACAGGATCCCCCCTATGTTCCCATATGTTCTGGGGTTTTGTCTCCCCCCCACTTCCCATGGTTTCCCTTATTTTTTCCTGGGGATCGACCATGAATTGTGTCTGTGTGTTTTCCCTCCTGAAAAGCAATGAATACAAGAACGACCACCAGTCAGAGCCTGCTTCGAGCGGGCCTGGGGCCGTCGCGCCGACGAGCGCGGCGCGCCCCCCCCGGGGGCCTCGCTCCGCGGGCCTCCCGGCGCGCCGCTGGGCAGGCTCCAGCCCGGCAAGCGGGGGGGAGCGAGGGGTGAGCCCCCACCCCCCACCCCCCTTCCGCCTCCCCCTCATCCCCCCTCCTCCTCCTCCTCCTCCTCCGCCTCCGCCTCCTCCTCCTCCTCCTCGTCCTCCTCCTCCTCCTCCTCCTCCTCCTCTCCTCCTCCTCCTCCTCCTCCTCCTCCTCCTCCTCCTCTTCCTCCTCCTCCTCCTCCTCCTCCTCCTCCTCCTCCTCCTCCTCCTCCTACACCTCCTCCTCCTCCTCCTCAACGGGGAAGGGGGGGGGCCGAGTGGCGCCAGGGCTCGCACCCCTGGCCCCAGACGGGCGGAGGGGGAGGACGAGCCGGGGAGAGCGGGAGAGGGCGGTGGTAGACGGGGAGCACCCGCCGTGGGCCCCAGGCCCCAAGCACCCGCCGGCCCCCCCGCCCCTCGGGGGATCTGCGGGCACACGGGGCCAGAGGCGTGCTGGGCCTGGCCCGCACCGAGGGACGAAGTGCTCCTCCCTGGGGAGGGCGCGGTTCTGATGGCCTGCCATGGCGCGGGGCCCTCTTGAGGCCATCTTCGGGGCCTCTGGGGGGTCCCCTTGGGTTATCTTGCGGCCATGTTGAAGTACCTGCCTGTTGGGGGGGCGGCCAGTCTGGGCGGTGGCCCGCTCGGCCGCCTCGTGTCTAGCAGCGTGCCTGACTAGATTTTCCCTTCAGCAGCCACGACTATGGCTTCTGGTTGCTGCGCATCTGGTGCGTGGGCGGTCTTGGAGCTGACTTCGGGCCATCTTGATATTCAGCCATCTCTGGAGCGTCTTGGGCCCCGTAGGGGGCGATGTGTGCCTCCTGGGCTCTCTTGGAAGCCTGTGGGGTCCTTCTCAAAACAGCTCTGAGCTGCAAAGTAGAAAGTGCATAACAACTGCAAACACAAAATGTGATGCTACGTTTTCCCCACGTCGGGGGCCATGCGCAAAGCCATCATACGGCAG